TGGGCAAGGTCTTTGACAGTCAAGGTTATAACTATCACCTGTGAATGAATTACTCAGCAGTTCAACAGCTATGTAGTACCAGACCCTGTAATCACAGGATGAATAAGACAAGGACCTTCCCTGAAGAAGTCACTATAAAGAGATTCCCAAACCATGGCCTAGGACTTCAGAATCATCCTCATTTCCCTAGACCCTCTTCCAAAGAGTCACACCATCCTATCCCCATGGGGCAGCATAACTGCCTCCCAGTGGCCTAGGATCCCATCTGATGACTCCTATCTCTGACTCCCATCTGTCCGGGATTATAGTCTGAGGTAAGATCTAGGGGCCTTCAGAGTCACTTGTATTAAAATTCCACTTCTGCTGCTAACCATATGACTTTAGACAAGTGTTTCTCAACGGGGGGCAATTTTTTTATCCCCTAAAGACATTTTTGACTGTTATAACAAAGGATAGTGGTGCTACTAGAGTTTAGTAGAGGCTAGGAATGCTGCAGACCATTTCCTACTGCATAGAACCTTCTCCAACAACAAAGAATTATCTGCTCCAAATGGCAATAGTGCCAAGGTTGAGAAACCTTGCCTTAAATGAATAATTTAACCTGGGCTCTTTGGTTTCCTCGTCTGTAAAAGGGCTAACAGTATCTACCTTGTAGAGCTATCTTAAAGGCTCAACATGTTACTGCAAATATCTTGTGCCTAGTAATAGTTGCCACTCCATAAATATTCCCTACACAAATTGTTATTAGGATGCCTCTAGGATCCCTCCTGGTTTCATCCCTCTGCTGAGCCAAGTTCACCTAGTTTGGCTTAGCTCTTGCCAAGGCCAGTGCCTCTGACTCTTTCCTTGCTAGACTTGATGCTTCCTTTCCCTCCTTGACCATATGCCCTAGAAGCCTCTTTTTCACTCCATCCTGGGGCCAGGTCCCTGCCTCCACCTCCCATTTCTCCCCTCCTGTTTTTCCTTCACATTTTCCTCTCTCATCTCTAGTGGCTCCCTGTGCCCCTCAGCAGACCAGCTACACACTCAGCTCTTCCCATCAGCACCTGTGCACAGACCGCTTCCCAGCACCAGCACCTCCTATATATCCAGCCAAAGTGGCAGGAGATAGTGAAGCATGTCCTGGATTTTGACCAGGCTACCTGGTCCCAATTCTGAGCTCTGCTTGTTACTTGATGTCCAATTTTGTGAATGTCAGCCTCACCTTATAAAGCAGGGAAATAATCTCTACTCCATGAGGTGGTTTTGTGGACCAAATGAGAATGTATATGAAAATATATACCAACTGTAAAGATGATAAAAGTGGAAGTTCTCACTGTTTGAGCAGTGTACTGCTTTGTATATTAATTCTCATAGCACTTATCAGCATTTAACTATAGTTTTGCCTTTTGTAACGTCAGCTCTGTGAGAGTAGGAACTTTTGTCTGTTTTATTCACTCATATCATTTGTGTCCAGAACAGTTCCTGGCACATAGTAGGTGTTCAATAAATATTTGTTGAATGAGTGAATTTTCTATATATAAGGCATTTCTGTAAAGCACCTAAATCTACCTTCTCCAAGAAGCCTTCCTTCAAATGACTGTATCTTAATTATTGCAGCATCCCTATTTTACAGATGAGGAAACTGAGGCTGAAAGAAATGAAGTAGGGCAGCGCCTGTGGCTCAAGGAGTAGGGCACCAGCCCTGGTCAAAATTGAAAGAAATGAAATAGCTTTCCCAGAGCCACTCACCTGAAAAGTGGCAGTGCCAGATAGATTTGTTCACCCAAGAAACACTGAGGGCCTCCTGAATGCCAGACACTGGGCAAGGTTTTAGGGACACAGATGACTAAGACTTGGTCCCTCCTGTCCTTCACAGAACTTTCAGGAGGAGGAGTCACAGAGGGAGGCCCAGGATGCCATAAGAACACAGAGGAGACTCCCACATCAAGGTCATTGGTCTTCAAGACAAGTGCCCGAACCATCCCTTAGAATCAATCACTATATTCTGATTTCACTCATGAATGCTCAAGCCCCCAGGCTTCCGGGATCCATTATCCTGTTCAGAGTCCATCACTGGTCTTAGTCACCCCCACGTTAACTTTCCCAATCCCCAGCAAGACCAGCTCCTCTGCACCTGGCCTCCCCTACTCTCTCCTGCTTCTTCCGGGGTTGGCGATCATTGCCCTGGCACAGGGAGAACAGACTTATGGCATTTGGGGCCTAGACTGAGGATTGACCTCAGGATAAAAGCCAACTTTGAAGTTCAGGTTTAGGATTGAGGCCATTTTGATGGTAGTGGTCCCTATCTTGAGCTTTGGAAAGACTCAGAGTGAAATTTGGGATGAAAGCTCTCTTTTTTTCTCCAGCACCTTTTCCTCAAAGATGGAGAGGCCTAAAATAGGAAGAGTTAAGTGTGGTTTTGCTTCCCCAGCCTGGAGGGGAAGCCAGGCCAGGCAGCTGGGTGGGGCAGAGAGGGGTTCTTAATGCCAGGAAGAGGGCTGAGGCAGCTGGAACAAAAACGAGTCCTATCCTTCACGTTTCTGGCTCAGTCATCTCGCCTCTGCTTCTGGTTTGGGGAACAAAATGAGGAGCAGAATAAGACTTTTTTTTTTTTTTGAGACTGAGTCTCACTGCCACCCTGGGTAGTGTGCCATGGCATCAAGGCTCACTGCAACCTCAAACTCCTGGGTTCAAGCGATCCTCTTGCTTCAGCCTCCCAAATAGCTGAGACTACAGGTTCGCACCACAACGCCTAGCTAGTATTTTTTTCTATTTTCTTAGGGACAGGGTCCTGCTCTTGCTAAGGCTGGTCTCAAACTCCTGAACTCATGCAACCCACCTGCCTTGGTTTCACAGAATGCTAGGACTACAGGCATGAGCCACTGTGTCCAGCCCAGAGATTCTGTTTTGTCTGCAGGCTGAGGGTGGGTATAATGCCTGAGAGAGGGAAGTCATATCCTAGGTGTCACCACACTGTCCAATCACCCTAACAGAAGGCAGACCCTCCCCAGTTCCTTCCCTGAATACCCAAAATTCCTGCCTTAGTCCCACTCCAACCCTTTGTCCACTCAAGCAACATAATTTTTTTTTTTTTTGAGACAGAGACTCAAGCTATCCCCCTGGGTAGAGTGCCATGGCATCACAGCTCACAGCAACCTCCAACTCCTGGGCTCAAGCGAGTCTCCTGCCTCCGCCTCCCAAGTAGCTGGGACTACAGGCGCCCGCCACAACGCCCGGCCATTTTTTTGGTTGCAGCCATCATTGTTGTTTGGCGGGCCCAGGCTGGGGATTCAAATCTGCCACCTTAGGTGTATGTGGCTGCCGCCTTAGCCGCTTGAGCCACAGGCGCCGAGCCTCAAGCAACATAATTTAATTTTCCTGGTTCCTCATCAGAGGAAGGCGCTGTGGGAGGCACTAGGGCTGGGGCCCAGAAGCACTGTCATCTCTTAGAACAGAAGACTGGCTGGTGGGCTGAGGTCAAGATTAGAGGAGGGGGGGCAAGCAAAGGGGTTCTTGGTGAGGCCTGAGGACAGAGGCTCCAGTGTCTGGGCTCGAGAAGCCTGGGAACTTGGGCGATCGGGTTTTATAAGAGAGGTTGGCCCCTCCCTAGAGTGGCTGCAAAGTAGACCTAGCCAGAGAGGAAGGCAGAGTTAAGTGTGATGCTGACTTTTGCAGCCAGCAAGACTGTGGGGTCTTTGCTTTTCTCTACCCTTTCTACTCTCTTTCTGGCTGAGACCAGATAGAGACCCAATATTGGCTGTCCATCCCCTAGCCCTACTCCCCCATTCAGACTCTTCTGAGAACCACAAAAATCTAGGACCTGGTGTCCTGGCAACGTGATGAATGCACACGCAACTCTGGTATCTGTTTTAAATTATCCATTAAAATAAGTACAGTTCTGGAAAAAAAAAAATAAGTTGACTGGGTGGGTAAGCAATAGAAAGGGACTGAAGGGGGAGAAACCTAGGCAGTCTCTTTTTCCCCATTGTTTGATCTAAAGGGAAGGGGCAGGAGATGAGAGGAAATAGTGCCTGGGTCCTATTCTTGGTCTTCTTTGGGTAACTGTGGCTTGTTGCTTGGGCCTAAGATCTAATTCTTTTTTTTTTTTTTGAGACAGAGTCTCAGTATGTCACCCTCGGTAGAGTGCTGTGCCTTCACAGCTCACAGCAACCCTCAAACTCTTGGGCTTAAGCGATTCTCTTGCCTCAGCCTCCCAAGTAGCTGGGACTACATGCACCCGCCACAATGCCTAGCTATTTTTTTGTTGCAGTTGTCATTGTTGCTTAGCTGGCTCTGGCTGGGTTGGAACCCGCCAACCTTGGTGTATGTGGCTGATGCCATAACCACTGTACTATGGCCTGAGCCTAAGATCTAATTCTTGATTTTGAAGGGAGATAAATTGGGGCAGAAGAGCAAAAAAGAGACCCCAACCCCTGATCCCTGGCCCAAAATTAGGGGCATAAAGGAACTCAGGTTTCAGAACTTCACTGCCCCCCAGGGAACCCAGACATTTTTCTTCTCCACTCCACCCTTGGCACACTCAGATGAAGCTTTGAATGGGTTGCCCACATGTAGAGGGAGGTAGGGGTGACTCACTGTTACTACTGGAAGGAGAGGGGGAGCCAGCGTTAGGAGGGTGAGTCACACTGATGGGCACTAGGCTCAGCCCTCCCCCCACTATCCTGGCTCTCCAGCCCTGCGCGCCTGCCCCCCTCCCTTGCTTTATACCTAGTTACCCCCTTACTCCCCTTCTTTGTTCACCCACTCTCAGCCCTTGGCTCTGCACCCTGACGCAGTAGTCCTGAGGCTGTGGGGACAAACTTGGATCTGAAAGCGCTGAGCAGGTGCGAATTAAGACAGGGGACGCCTCAGCAGAGCCTGGGGCAGACGAGGGTACGCTGGGGAGGGTGGGGCCCGCTGTGGCCACTGCCGGCCATCCTGCCACTCCTCGTCGCTCCCGCCCTCGCCTCTGTGGGCTAGCTACGGCCCCTTTAAGATGGCAACCCCGCCTTCCTTAGAGGAGGACCTATTAGAGCCTTTGCCCCAGAGCCTGTGACTCAGTGTTCGCTGGAGCGCGGTGTCTATACCGGTCAGCCCAGGTCCCAAGGTCTGACAGCGCCCGGCCCAGCTCCGCAAGCCTGCCAGGAGCCAGCCAAGAGCCAGCCGGCCCAGCGCACTCCAGCCTAGAGCAGCCTTTGTCCTTCGGCCTGAACCTCGTGCCCTTTTTGGGACCCCTGCCCCGCGGGCAGCGCTGCCACCCTGCCGGCCATGGAGACCCCGTCCCAGCGGCGCGCCACCCGTAGCGGGGCGCAGGCCGGCTCCACCCCGCTGTCACCCACTCGCATCACCCGGCTGCAGGAGAAGGAGGACCTGCAGGAGCTCAACGACCGCTTGGCGGTCTACATCGACCGTGTGCGCTCGCTGGAGACGGAGAACGCAGGGCTGCGCCTTCGCATCACCGAGTCTGAAGAAGTGGTCAGCCGCGAGGTGTCTGGGATCAAGGCCGCCTACGAGGCTGAGCTCGGGGATGCCCGCAAGACCCTCGACTCGGTGGCTAAGGAACGTGCCCGCCTGCAGCTGGAGCTTAGCAAAGTCCGTGAGGAGTTTAAGGAGCTCAAAGCGCGGTGAGTGCGCCCAGGTGGCCGCGTGGGAGTGGGGAGGGCGGCGGACCGGCCCCTCTGGCCGGCTGCAGGAAAGGAGCGGGAGGGCCCCGGATGGCTGATAACTTTTGCCTTGTAGTCTCCTCCCTCCCCGGAACTGCCCCCGGCGTCGGGTGACTGGTGGTGCCAAGGGGAATTGTCAAGACAGGATAGAGAGGGGAGGGGTCTTCACTTTGGGTGGGAGGAAGTAAGGAACGGTGGGGGCACTAGGGTCGAGTAGGCGCTGGCTGCAGGGCCAAGTTGGTCAGGGTGAGATTTGCTGGCTATTTGGAGCCTGGGGGAGGGATTCGAGCTAAGCAGAACTGGCCCTGCCAGGTCTAAGAACTCTGAGCACCCAGGACACATGGCAGTGGGTAAAAGAGTCCTGTTAGGACTTTCTTGGGCAGGCTTGGCACTGTGCCAACTTTGCCCAGACTATCTCCGAACATATCCCCTCTAAGACAGAGCTACAGAGTTGGCATCTGTCCAGTGATGCAGGAGAAAGGTCAGAAGGCACAGAGCGACTCCCCTCCAGGGCGCTGGTGGTAGCCCCTTAGAGAGAACCCAGGGAAAGGTCATGCTAAGAGCCTGGAAGCTCTCTCTCACTCCCTGTGTCCGGACCTTTCGTGGACTCTGCCAGACCCACCAAGACATCTCCAGGAGATCTGCTCCCCCGCAGCTCCCACAGCCCTTGGCCTGCTTGGCCCAGGAATGCAAGGGAGGGAGGGAGACCGAGGGCAGAGACTCCTGGTGCAGGAAGTTGTGTTGCATCCAGGTCTGGCAGCACCCCTCTCTGGGCCTTCCACCCAGCCTCCTTACCCTCTCAGCATGAACCACTATCATTCACCAACCAGGCCAGAGCAAAGAGGCCCATCCTCTCTGCTGCTGACGTTTTGATCTTAGCCTTATTAAAATGCTGGACTACAGTGACATTTTTGAAATCCAGCCGTTGGAAGCTTCAGGCCACTCCCACTTCACCCATCCCTGCCCCACCCTACCCCACCCTATTTAGCTCCACCCTCTTATCTAACCCTTTGGGAGCCTGGAGATTTAGGCTCTTTTCTCGTAGCCCTCCAAGAATTTGGCTTTCGGCAGGGTGGCGGGAGGTGCGGTGGTGGCTGCGGTGGCTCAGGCTTATAATCATATCATCCTAGGAGGCAAAGGCAGGAGAACCCCTTGAGCTCAGGAGTTAGAGACCAGCCAGAGTAAGAGCAAGACCCTGTCTCTACTAAAAATAGAAAAACTAGCCGAGAGTCCTGTCCGTGCCTATAGTCCCAACTGCTCAGGAGCCTGAAGCAGGCGGGTCACTTGAGCCCAGGAGTTTGAGGTTGCTGTGAGCTAAGACATCACTGCACTCTAGCCAGGATGACAGACTAAGACTTTGTTTCAAAAAAAAAAAAAAAGGAAAAAATTTTTCTTTTCTCTTTTCCCTGCCCCCCATTCCTCTATGAAGACCCAAGCCAAAGAGCATTAAATATGCTGTAAGAGCCCTAAAGGGCCACCGTTTTTATTTCCCTCCTCTCTTTCTGATCATCTGCTCCAAACATGTTCTTCTCCAGACCCCTCTATGTACACTGTTGTCATCTAGCCCCCTCCAGCCCTGGTGTGGTAGGTGTGGCACATCCATCACCCTTCTTAAAAATCCATGGGAGTTTTGTAGGGAGACAGGATGTAGTTTCATTTCTTTTTTTTAAATTTTTTAATTTTTATTGTTTTGAGACAGAGTGTCACTGTGGCACCCTCGGTAGAGTGCTGTGGCATCACAGCTCACAGCAACCTCAAACTCTTGGACTTAAACGATTCTCTTACCTCAGCCTCCCAAGTAGCTGGGACTACAAGCACCCACCACAATGCCCGGCTATTATTTTGTTGCAGTTATTTAGCTGGCTCGGGCTGGGTTCGAACATACCACCCTCAGTGTATGTGGCTGGTGCTGTAACCACTGTGCTACGGGCACCAAGCCTCTACTTTCATTTCTGTTGGAAGGGATCATGCCTCTCCTTTTTCTACTAGTGATATGAATAACTTAGCAAGACAGATAATAGGCAAGCTAAGGGAGTCCCAGAGAATTAGTTGTGTTCTAAACTAGTCTATTCAGCTACCAAAGCCTCCGTTGCAGAGGGCAAGGGCATTCATTCTTAGCAGATGAAAACACTGATCGGGGAACAGAGTGACTGAGTTCTCCAGTCTCTTGTCATCCCAGCCACACCAGTCTGTCTCTTCTGTCTCTTGGTGCAGCTGTCCAGGCTTGGACACTAGGCGAGTGTGTGCACACATGGGGCAGGGGCAGGTGGTGTGTGTACTTGTTATATTTAGCCACCTGCCTCTATTCTCCCCCACTGATCCTGGCTAGGGAGGTTGGGCTTCCGGAAAAGGGGGGTGGATTTGTACACCTGGATGCCAAGCTGGTGGGAGGTAGGGTGGAGACAAAGGGGGTTCAGACAGGGGCATATCTCCCCTTCTATGTCCACAGTAGGATGAGTCAAGACAGGTTGCTCCCTGTTGTGTCTGCTGTGAGGGTGAAGTGAAGGGGGTAGAATGAAAAGTTTGAAAGAGAAAGAGGCATTGTCCCAGCCCCTCCCATCAAAGCCTGAAGAGGTGTTATCTGGTTTAATGTTTAATTAGTGTTCAGAGTTCAGGGCCACACTTGGAGTTGTGATTCAGAGCTGTCTGTAAGACCCTGAGGCAATCCTTGGCCCAGCCTGGGTACCCCAACCCCAATCAGTCTCCCTTTTTTTGACTTGGGTCAAAGACATTCCTTCCTTTACCAAGAAGACATTCCTTCCTTTACCTCACACTTCTCTCTCTCTCTCTCTGTGCCCAAGAGGTTTAAATACCTAAGTTTGGAGAATATAGGAAGGCTGAAAGCACTGGGGAGAAGGCCCTCCTGGGTTGAGGTTTAGAGTCAGCCCATCCCAGGCAGAATAACAGCTGGGTGGATGATTCAGATGTTGCCCCTCCTTCTCACTCTGATGGCTTTACACCAGATAGCAGGAGACAGGGTAGAGACAACAGATGTCTTAAGGAGAGAGATGAGCGCCTGAATGTCTGTATCTTTTGTACCCTCTCCCTGCCACATCTTGGGGTCCCTTTCCTGCCTCCTTCCTTAGAACCTCTGGTAGTGTTTGGAGCCAGGGCTGGACAATCAATATGCATAAATAGTTAGAATCAGAGTTGAGGCTGGGCGTAGTGGCTCATGCTGTAACTCCACCACTCTGGGAGGATCGTCTGAAAATAGAAAAAGTAGCTGGGCATTGTGGTGGGCATCTGTAGTCCCCGCTACTAGGGAAGCTGAGGCAAAAGGATCACTTCAGCCCAAGAGTTTGAGGATTTTGTGAGCTATGATGTGACAGCACTCTATCCATGTCAGCAAACCAAAACTCTGTCTCCAAAAAAAAAAAAAAGGCTCCGTGTCCATAGCTCAGTGGTTAGGGCACCAGCAGCCACATATACCAAGGCTGGTGGGTTCAAACCCAGCCCGGGCCTGCCAACCAATAATGACAACTATAAAAAAAAAAAATACCTAGCTGTTGTGGTGGGCGTCTATAGTCCCAGCTACTTGGGAGGCTGAGGCAAGAGAATCACTTAAGCCCAAGAGTTTGCTGTGAGTTGTGATGCAACAGCACTCTACCAAGGGTGACAAAGAAAGAAAAAGAATCAAAATCAGAGTTGAGTCCAGAGTTAGGGACTAGGGCTCCAGGAGTCTGCCTTCCCATGTGAAACTGATCAAGGAAGACTGAGTCAGAAGTGGGGAGATCCTGGGGCCCACAAAGCAGAAGTGCTTCTTCCACCCCAGGAGGCCCTGGAGCTTGACAACTTCCTGGATTGCTCGCTGCCTTATGCAGCCCCAGTGTGGACAGGCAGGGAGATACAGGCTCTGATCAGGGCAAGAACAGGAAAAGGGAAGATATATTAGCACTTGCGCATAGGACTTCTGACTTGAGGTGGGTGCTCTCACCATAACACCTCAGTCCTTTAGCTTAGGGGACCGGTTGGAGGGTTTAGAGCAGTGGTTCTCAACCTTCCTAATGCTGGGATGGATTTTCATTGTTACAAAGGGGTTGCGACCCACAGGTTAAGAACCCCTGAGGGTGAGGTGAGGTGGAGGAGCTAAGGCACACTCCTGCAGCCCAGACGTTCTGCTTTCGGGCCAGTGATGCATTAAGGCTGTTCTGCCCTGCTAGGACCTGTAAACATACAACCCACAGCCTTTGCTCCTGCCTGTACCTGGAAAGGCCCAGGACCCTGCCAGGCCATAGATCATGAGATGATTGAAGCTTAGGGAGAATGCTGATTTGTATCTTAAGAGTTCTCATGGAAGGCTGGGCACGGTAGCTCACATCTATAATCCTAGCACCTCTGGGAGGCTGAGGTGGGCGGATTGTTTTAGCTCATGAGTTTGAGACCAGCTGAGCAAAAGTGAGACCCCATCTCTACTAAAAACAGAAAAACTGAGACAAGAGGATCACTTGAGACCAAGAGTTGGAGGTTGCTGTGAGCTCTGACACCACAGCGCTCTACCCAAGGCGACACCTCTGGGGAGGTGGCAGGTCTCTTATCCCCTATGAGACTGTCTCAAAAAAAAAAAAAAAAAAAGAGTTCTCTTGGAAATTGTCTACCTGGATTAGGGGATTGGGAGGAGGCTGTGGCCTTTGGCATAGCCATCGTGTGAATGGGGTTGGGGGTCTTTGAGGATGCCTAAGCCCTAAACTTCACCTGGTGTTATCTCTCTAACCACATTCTGAATCAAAGGGAAAGATAAAAACACAGCTAACCCAGGGGCTGAGAAGTATTTAAGGGGCCCAAGAGAAACAAAGAGAATAATTCCTCACTAGGAGACCCTTTGCCTTCCCATTATTGGTGCCTTGGTCGGCGCTTCCCCTGACTCCCACTCCCAATCCTACTGCCAGTGTACAGTGGCTCAGTGTCAGGGCTAAAGCCGGGACAGCTGAGGGGACAACTGGTAGGATAACTCACCTGACAAC